GAATAGTGGGGATGGCTTCTAGCGGGGACTCCCTCACTTTAGAGGCATTTCCTCACTTCCTGTTTTGGCTATGGGACGACAGGAAGTGAAGAGAAATCTCCCATTTGGGACATAGTTGACAAAAATAAATCTTTCAGGGGTTATAAACTTTCCCTTGCTTTATTAACCACCTCTCGCCTGCCATATAAGGAAATGACGGGTGCAAGGTGGTTCTGTTGTTCTGGGAGGACGTCATATGATGTCTTCCCATTCTAACCGCGCAGCGCGGCGATCGGCGGTGCGCTGTGTCCCTCGGACACATCCGATCAATGGAAAAAGCCTAAGATTTCGGCTCGGTCATGTGATCAGCTGTGTCCAATCACAGCTGATCGCATGTAAACAGGGAAATGCCAGTTATCAGCATTTCTTTCCTCATGAGCTGTCACACTGACAGCTCAAGAGGAGAGGAGAGCCGGTAATCGGCATTCCTCGGACGGGACATCTACACTGATCATCAGGGCATGATGATCAGTGTAGCCCCAGCAGTGCCACCTGTCAGTGTGCATCAGTGTCAGCTGCCAGTGCCCAGCAGTGCCACATCAATGCCATATATCAGTGCTCATCTGAGCTGCCTTTCAGTGTCACCTATCAGTACCAGTCAGTACTGCTTATCAGTGCAATATATGAGTGGCACCTATCAGTGCCCATCAGTGCAGCCTCATTAGCGCACATCAGTGAAGGAGAAAAATCACTTATTTACAAAATTTTAAAATAAAAACTAAGAAGAAAAAACTTTTTCAAAATTTTCAGTTGTTTTTGGTTTGTTTAGTAAAAAAAAAAATACCCAGAGGCGATTAAATACCACCAAAATAAAGCTCTGTCTCAAAAAATAACACTTTCATATGGGTACAGTGTTGCATGACCCGCGCAATTGTCAAAGTGTGACAGCGCTGAAAGCTGGAAATTGGCCTGGGCAGGAAGGGGGTATAAGTGCCCTGTAAGCTAGTGGTTAAACAAAATTGCCGTTTTGTTCTATTTGATGTCAGCAGAGGGAAATCTCCAGCTGCAATGTCAGTGGGCACACAGTGGAATTAGGTGCAGACATGGTTCGTGAATGTAGTTGTATTCAGCATACGAGCAGATTGCTTAACTCCATGGACACGTGTTTTATTGATGGGAAACATCACTGTAACGTATTGGGGAGGCTGCCTGCAGTAGAACACACCCCTCCAATAAGATGGCTCCTGCTGTGAGAACAGGAAGCACGCCCACCCCCATACTGCTCCCTCCCGTGAGGCGTCACTTCCTTCCGCCCTTTTCCCGCTCTCCAGGCTAAACGGTGGTGACGCAAACACGCCGCACGTCCCGCTCCACGAGTGGTGTGTATGAAAGGAGTGTCCGGCCCTCGCCAATCTCTCACTCCGCGCGCCCGTTCTCTTCTCAAACATCAGGTAAGTGAACTTCGCCGAGAACCGCCCTCCGACGTGCGTCCGTTCCCCACGGTGTGTACCGGCTGGTGGCCCGGGACACGTGTACAGCTCCAGCCCGTCATAGGCGGGTGGGGTTCGGGCCTATTCTGCGGCGCGGTTAGGTTCTGAGGTGAGTATGGAAAGTTTCCTCAGTGCACGGAGCTGGGACGGCGGATAGACCGCGGTCGCCATTTTGTGGCTGTGCACAATAGCAGGTGGGGGGCGGCGTGGTGCGGCCTGGCTGTGTTCTGGGACCTCGTGGTGGAGGGCTGGGCTCGACGGGTGTACGGCGGCCCATGTGTGTCTGCAGCTTCTTCCTTCATATCACCCGGCCTGCCTGCTGTGTGTACTGTACAGGGCCGGACTAATCCGGGCACCTTAACGCTGGAGGAAGGATCTTCTATTGCGGGCAATGGGCAGTACATGGGATGACGAGACTCTTCATATCGGGGGAGATCCGTGATGTCTGCGGGGGGTGAGAGGAGGCCGGTAGCCTGTCTATAGACCGGCCTTCGCTCTCTTCCTAGATCTGGTATAACCCTGAACTTCCTCCCGCGTGTGCTGTGCAGGAGGCGCCACTCACCCCCCACTTCCCCTCCTCCTGTCTCGTCTTTGTCCTGATCCTCCTCTCCAGGCAATCCTGCCTATATATGACACCTGGCCCCAGACTGGCTTCTCCTCCTCTACACTGTTATAGATTGTATATTGGTGGCATTGCTGCCTATATATGAAGGGCCACCTGGTCCCAGGCTCTCCTCTACACTTAGATTGTGTATTGGTCCCATTGCTGCTCTGAATTGTACCTTTTTAAAGCGATGTTAAACACCAAACGCCTTGCAGCTTTCCAATCATCAGATGTGGCTGCAATTTTTTTTTCGCCTGGTGATCTGACCAGTTACATCCCGTATTAGAGCGCCCCCACTCTGGATGGAGGAGGACAGCGGCATTGACAGTCTAGGGGGGGGGGGGGGTAGTGTTTACTGGACTAGCAGTTTTAATCGCACTAAACACATTTCAAATCCAGCTCACACTGTAGTTGCAGTGACCATTTTTTTTTTTTTTTTTTTTGGGATAAAGGATTTAAATGAAAGCTGATCATTGAGTATTCCTGCTAGTGATGGATTGTCTCAACCCTCCTAAACATTTGCAGGGAAGCTTTTTATGTTCAAAAAACCAACATACTGGTCAGATCACAAGATGAAAATAAGAGTAGGAAAAAAAGTGAATGCAGCCAGAGCATCTAGGAATGAATAAACTGCCACACATTGTTTGCATTTGGGTTTAATGCTGCTTGATCCAATTCTGATAATGCCCCTCCCTGTTTGATGTGATCTGTAGGGGTGAGTTCACACTTGACTTTATTTTCTAACTCTTGCCAAACGCCCCTATAGCGTTTCACAGGTGTGTTGGGAAGCGTTTTTAATGCTACCTAAACGCCCTATGTGTGGTTTTTGAGGAGGTTGATAGGCGTTTGCCAAGTGTTAAAACCGCACCACAAACGCCTATAATGAAGTTAAATGGTGTTAATGCTCTGCAACCCCAGGTGTTTGCGGATTGGCACCATAGACTTGAATGGGAGGCTTCAACTCCTGACTGGACACGAGGCTTTAGTTCTGCTGCGACACAATGCGTATGCTTCAGTGTGCACAGCACTGTGTGCTGCCAAGTGCAGAATTTTCATACACGTTTGAGAAGCGTTAAAAATGCTTCCCTGACGCCTGCTGACAAAGCTAGTGTGCACTGAGCCTAATTTTCACTGTTAGTGTCCGGTCACACCTGTGCAATTTGCGAATTGAAATCGCATCTAGTGAATGTCAGTGTCTTTAAAATGTGCGGTTTGCTGCTGCGGGACTTCTAAAGTAGTTCTTGCATTACTTTTTCTGCAGTTTTGGTACACTTTCACATACATAGAATGTAATGGAAATCGCACTGCAAATTGCAAGAAATCAATGAAAATCTTCACACAGCAATGAAATCTTCAGAAATCACACCTGGAATTGCGCTGAAATTGCACACATCACGTGATTTTAAATCACAGCAGTGCGCTGACTTGCACAAATCATAACCAGAAGATGCAGGTGTTAGGCTGTAATGGTTTGACATCTTAACCACTGTGATATATTGCAGCTTACCAGTCAGTCATATGTGTAGTGGTCGCAATTTTTATTTTTAAGGCTTCTCCCCTTTAAATTGTTTGTAAGCTCTCACCTTGTAAAACCCATTCGGTTTAAAATATAAAAGGTAAAACATTTGTGTATAGATATAAAAAAAAATCCCATTACCCCCCCCCCCCCCCCCCTTTTTTTTTTTTTTTTTAACAAGTAATCACATTCCCTTTGTTTACAGCATAGAGTTGAGGGAGAAGGAGCAGCAGCACACTGAGCTTCCCAGTGAATGGTTGTGCAGGAAGGGGTGTCATGGAAAGTCTGGCCATCAGAGGAGACTAGGCTGAGTTTCCAGCACAGCTAGAGAACTGACCATGTTGTGATGTCATGCCTAGTGTGGTTAGTTGGTCAGTTTGTACTAGGAAATCTGGGACTGGCAGGAACGCCAGATACCTCACACAAAGGAAGCAATACAAAGAGTACAGGAGACTTTCATATAAGTACATGGTACTTAAGAGATACTTTAAGAATATATGTTTGGTTTACATATCCTGTAAGGCCCATTTCACACGGATTCCTAAAATGCCATGTTTTTAGGTGTTCAGGCTTTTTCTTTTTAGATCTCAATACAGTCCAATTTTTTTTTTTTTTTTTTCTTTTAAGCCCACAAATCCTACATAAAAACAGGCAGAAGACCGTATAGTAAAATGTGTGCACGCATATGCAAACACGTTAACTTTTTGAGATATGTCGAAATAAATGCACTTTCGACACATCTCAAAAATTTAACTTGTTTGCGTGTGTGCGCAAGCACATTTTACTGTACTGTCTTTCGCCTGTTTTTATGCAGGATTTTTTTTTTTTGCCGAGAATCTGATGTTCGTACATTAGTACTGTATGTAAGCAGCGGTTTTTTTTTTCACATGGTGTCTGTTAGTGACTCACGTCCTGTTTCTTTTTTTTTTTTTTTTTTTTTTTTCCCCCCCCCCCCCCCCATGTGAGATCTGCAGATTAAACTCTACATCCTTGGGTGGCTACACTCACTTCTCTAACTATAGAGGGATCCATAGTTGTGTCACATAGGTTGGGTTTTAAACATGTCTGCTTTTGTTCGTCTCATTACACGGAGGGGGATGGATGTATGCATTTGCTTTGCTGTTTCTGTAACGTGATGCCGTTGTACGTTTGGATTGCATAGAACATGAAATTGGCTTTTGTTACATAAAAATGCTCAATACTGGAGTAGCTGGTGCTTTTGTTTCAGTCTTGTTTGCTGGTTGCTGTGGTTGTGTTAATTACAGGCTCTTCGCAGCAGGTCTGGAAAATACTTGCCTTCTAGGCAGTCGCTTCATAATGCAAAAGCTTTGTTCATATTTCAATATTTTTGGTATTAAACACTTTTTTTTTTCTAAATTCACACAAAAAAAAATTTTCTTCTTCAGAAAAAATGGCCGATGAATGCATTGTGAGAGTTCGTGGTTTGCCATGGTCCTGCACCCGGGAAGAGGTACTGGAGTTTTTTTCAGGTTAGTAAAACAAAAATTAAACCACCTTTCTGGTAATTTCCACATGAACTTACAGCCTGATTCCATCATTTTAATTTCTTTCACTTTAATATTATGCTGAAATTTCCATTACAGCTCTTGTAGTTTGCCCTGATTTAATCACTTTTTCTGGCACTCTGTAGTGTGGTATTGCGATGTGACCGAAGGTGCCTAGGTATCATTCCTGCGTTCTTTGTTAGGAATGCATTGTGTGGACCTTTAAGTAGTCTGCTTGACCACATAAGGGTCATTTCAGAAACCTGCAGGAGCAAATGTAACTGATGGATGTTCCCATCACTGCTTTCTGATTGTAAAGAAAGCTAAGTTGAAAGTGACTGCATGTTACTACTATGTTGCTGAGCTGGCCATGCACATACAGAGATTGGTAGCAAACTGATGTGTTCAGAACAGCAGCATTTTTGCTGATTTACATGGCACTGTACAAAATAAAACAATCAGGCTGAGTAATAAGCATCTCTTTATACTGACCAGCATTTCTCAAGCAGTGTGCAATTACTGCCACTCTAAGTAACCGCAAACACAAGTTATCTTTTAATCAATGTGAGAGGGAACTTCACTGACTGCCATTGTGAGAGCACATCTTTTTGCCTGATTACCAGTGTGAGGGGGGGTCCTACAATTACCACCACTGTAAGAGGGCATTTCTTCATTCCCCACTACTAGAATTGGGAAATACACAATTCTCAGCCCAATTTTCTGCTCTATGCTGTAAAACCAGTCCCTGCCACCTCTTTATGCCTGTCAATTACGTTCACCTGACGTCAAGTTCAATGCAGAGTGTTAGCTGTACATTGGACATGAGGATGCCAAGGAATAGTCCACTATGGGAGAGGGCAATCTGTTAAACTGCTTTCCTGTTCCCTAGCATTTAACATTTTGCAGTGCGGGTACAGAACTCACTGCAAGGGACTTTTTTTTTTTTTTTTTTTTTTTTTTTTGCCTGGAGCGGTTTTACCAATAGTAGCAAATGTTTTTGGCATCTAACTTGGGACCTTCCTCTTAAAACAGCGGACTGCTCTATTGCTGATGGAGCTGGTGGCATTCATTTCACAATGTCCAAGGAAGGTCGTCCTAGTGGAGAAGCCTTTATTATATTGGAAACAGAAGAAGATCTTAAAAAGGCCCTAGAAAAAGACCGGAAATATATGGGTCACAGATATATAGAAGGTAAAGCTCTGTCAACACGTTTCTCATTTCCTGCTTTCAGCTATGCTGTAGAATAAACATGCTGTTTTATCCGTGTATGTGCTATGCAAAAGAGGTTTGACTACATATCACACTGTTGCAGTTTTCAAGTCAAACAACACAGAAATGGAATGGGTCTTAAAACACAGCAATGCTGGTGACTCTGAGTCCTCCACGGATGGAACTGTGAGGCTTCGCGGTCTACCCTTTGGCTGCAGCAAAGAAGAGATTGTGCAGTTTTTCTCAGGTACTTGTAGTTTCGTAAAATCTGTAATTCTTAGGTCTGGGAATTCAGGAATATAACTATAGCCTAAGTCAGATCTTTTTTTGATTTATAAGTAGTTCTTTAACATAACGCACTGAAGGCCATTAAGCCTAAAACACAAGTTGCCCTGTACATCAGCTATTAACATTTTACAAATTGTTTACAGAACGGGATATTTGAGATGACATTTGCTAAGCAGCTATGGAATATGAATAAATTCATTCTACACTTGCAGCTAAATGCAGATGGCTTCCGTTTTAACGTTGGTAATGCCAGCAATGTTTATTTCAACATCTCTAAAATACCTTCAGTTCTGATTTTGCTCTGTTTTTTGTTTTGTAAATGTTTTTCATAGCTTTTGTCTTCCATATATGCCACTTGTGTTTTTTGGTTTATTGGGCTTTTGATCTCGTAGACTATACTTTCATAAATTTGTATACTGGTAATGTTCTTGTTAATGTAGATAACATTGTGGGGTGGTGGGATAAAGCCATAGTTGTAATGTAAACTGATGTTAGGCTATTGGGATTTTTATTTAAAGTTGTTAGTATTGTTAAGATGGGTTTGTTTCAGCCTTTAACACTGTTCCCCTTGACGGGGTTATTTGTCCTTGGGTTAAAGGGTTGAGAATCGTGCCAAATGGGATAACATTGACGGTGGACTACCAGGGGAGAAGCACAGGGGAGGCCTTCGTACAGTTTGCTTCAAAGGAGATAGCAGAAAAAGCTCTGGGGAAACACAAGGAAAGAATAGGGCACAGGTGGGGATGGACAGAACGGGATCGGTCTTCTGTTATTCTTTGTTTTTATTTTGTTTTGTTGTTTTTGTTTTATTATTTTATTTATTTTTTGGGGCTTCATGGTGGTGGGAGGGGGTTCTGATTTTAAGAAAAAAAAAAAAAAAAAAAACAAACAAAAAAAAAAAACCTTTTTGTTCGGTCAGTATAACAATGCAAATTGGTATCTCTTCTCTTCAACCGCTTTCTTTAAGAATCAGCTTCACATTTTCTGAGCTTCTAAATCTTGATTGTACAAATGCTTTGGCTTTTATAGTCTGTGAAGCCACTAATTTTTATACATTTTATTTTACAAGAATACTGACTTTTCTTTTAAAATGGTTGCATAGATACATTGAAATATTTAAAAGTAGCAGAAGTGAAATCCGTTCATCCTATGATCCACCTCGAAGAATGATGGGAGGACAGCGTCCAGGTCCTTATGATCGACCAATGGGTGGCCGTGGTGCCTATTACGGAGCTGGCCGAGGCAACATGTATGATCGTATGCGAGGAGGAGGAGGTGGTGGCGGCGGTTATGGTGGTGGTAAGTCATGTTATAAGCTATATGTTGTGTCTGTTTTAACTAGTAGCAGGCTGCTTGTCTGTCTTGTATTTTTGAGCTTAGTTTGCTTTCTGCATCAATCCTTTTGAAAAAGCTTATTTTAAGTTAGCTGGTGCAAAGGGCTATGAAGCTAATAATGGGGGGGGGGGGGGGGGATGGATCAAACCTAGTAGCCCTGGGCAACACTGGCATTACACCACTCTGCTTGCCATAATAATTTTAAAATTGTATATGCAATTCTCTTAACTCAGCCTGCTATTGTGATTTTGTTTCTAGGTTATGGTGGATTTGAGGAGTACAGTGGCTATAACAACTATGGTTTTGGAGATGGCTTTGATGACCGACTTAGAGAAAGCAGAGGTTTGTTTCCCTTAACTGTTGTCATGGTGGTAAGATGTATCAGTAGAACATACCTGCATTATTTGTGTCATCTTAAAAATGACTAGAGGGCAACTTCTATGAATCTGAGCAATCAAAAGCAATTCTTTGCAGACACATTAAATGTTGTAAATTGGCAGGTAGTCACATGTTCTATTTACACCATAGAGCCCTGAAACTTTGGGCACTTTGTTTAGCTTTTGCTTCCAGTGCTTAATGGCTGTGCCTCTAACTTTCTAAACTGGCTGGTCGGGATTTGCATAAAAACACCTTTTAAAGTTATTTATATGATTTGCAGAGGGCATGTATAAGATCCTTGTTGAACAGCACTAATGAACCTGAATATTTTGAGGTAACATTTTTTTCTTTTTTTTCTTCTTCCTCTAAATGCCTAGGTATGACTCAAGGTTACCCTGGAACAAGTGATGGTGGCACAGGTTTTCACAGTGGGCATTTTGTTCATATGCGGGGCTTACCTTTCCGTGCAACAGAAAGCGATATTGCCAGTGTGAGTGTTTTTTCCTAAAGTTTTGCTCAGAGCTAGTCATGCAAGACTATTGTGCATAGAGCTTGATAAACTAGTGGGTACTTTTATATAGCCACTCTGTCGGGGTGTGGGCAGAATGTCCCCTGTAGAAGACTTTAAACTTGCTGGTCCAGCTCTCATTCATAGAATCTTCCTTTTGTTACACTGCCTTGAAAGCCTTCACGTCTGAAGCTATGCTGGGTGTGTTTGATGCCTGTGTCCTCATGTGCATTTTGGTTCCTTCTTACAAACCTACCTTGTCACAGGACACAACTTGGTGGGGGGATGCAGGCAAGTACCACAAGAACTGTCAGATGTAAAGAGATTTGTGGGGGCAGCAGCATAGGGAAGATTCCATGATTAGGCATTGGACTGGATAAGTATAAAGTACCATGCTTCACAGGTGGCTGAACAAGAGCGAACACTGCTACAGGTCCACCAGCCACACACTACCACAATAGTAATGAACAAATGCCAGCCCAGCTCACAGCTGACTAAGGAAAGCCTAATATGTTGCACTACTGTTGTGTGGTGGTTTTTTTTTTTTTTTTGTTTGTTTTTTTTTTTGTTTTTTTTTTGCATAACCCCATCCTTGGCAGGAAATGTTTGGCTAAACCCACCCCCCGACAGGGTCTCTTGTATGTAATGAAATCGCCACTATTTCATTTCACTGAACTAGGAAAGACTGCTGCATCTCAAACCTGATTTACAAAGGGATCTTTCTCTTTTTGTAGTTCTTCTCCCCACTTACACCCATCAGAGTACATATTGACATTGGGGCAGATGGAAGAGCCACTGGAGAAGCTGATGTGGAATTTGCAACACATGAAGATGCAGTAGCAGCCATGTCCAAAGATAAAAACAACATGCGTATGTAAACTTTTTTTTTTTTTTTTTTTTTTTTTTTGTTTTTTCCCCCCCTGCCTTTTTGATATGAAAATGTTTTAATTTTTTTTTTCTTCTCCAGAGCATCGATACATTGAGCTATTTTTAAACTCTACTGCTGGTGGTGGTGCTGGAATGGGCGGTGGAATGGGTAGTGGAATGGGATGCTATGGCAGAGAAACTTTAGGTATGTATACATTAGTACTGTTCATTTAAAGTTTGACACTTCAGTGTATGTTTTGGTGAATAAATGAAGTAAATGCCCTTCCTTTCTTTTGGTGTAATGTGATCCAGATGGTACTGGCTATGGTGCAGTTGGCAGAATGGGAATGACGGGTAACTACAGTGGATGTTATCCAAATCCAGATGGTCTAGGTGGTTATGGTAAGTAAATATTTTTAGGTTTTCCTCCTTTTTTTATACAGTTAAACTTAAACCTCTCACAAATATGGACCATTCAATCCAAGCTTGTATGAAAAGTGCATTGGAAGAGGATGCCTTTTAAAGGAAAATTAATACATGCATAAATGTAAGCAGATTAAGTTATACGGAAATCTCACCTTGCTTCACCTCTCCTTTCTGCCCCCTATTTCTTGTCATGGGCAGGCTCTTTGGTCAGTTGGGAGGGGAAAGGCTAAGCTCAAGGTGTACATAAGTGTATACCTTCAGGTGCTTGGATCTACATTTAGTTTTCACTGAACCTAACCTCTGCTTATGCAGTCTTTACTTTTAGCTTGAGTTGCTCAAGGTTGTAATGCAGGGGTAGGCAATTTTCCCAAGGGGGTCACATGTTAAACTGGGACTCTTGTGGACGACTGGAATGAACGATTAATAACTTGAGACCTGGAGTGGCAGGAGTGCGTGGGGATGTCTCCTAGGCAATGTTCTCTTGCTTGAACTGAGCCTCTCTGCTGTACTGATAGCTCTTGTAACTTCCCACTCAGAGAGGCAGTTGACAGTGAAGGCATGAAGGGCCAAGTGGGGACATCTAAAAGACTGGATGTGGCCCTGGGGCTGCAATTTGCCCAGGTCTAATTTTAAAGGACCATTAACCTTCCAACGCACCTTTTTGTTGTATTTGAAATTCAAAATTAATGTGATCTCTTTGAATGTAATTCCTTAAAGCATGTGGGTCACTCTGGGGATAGCATTGTTTCTATTAAACAGCAAGTGCTATATAGTGAACCTGTTTTCTGTAAGTTCAGCTTAAATAATTCTTCCCTCTGCTCTTCTGAAGTACTCTAGTAGGGAAAAAAAAAAAAACCTGTCTACTTCCTAACTGCAACTGGGAGTGCAGTTCTGTCTCCTCTTCCCTGCTTAATCTGTCAGACCTGTGCAAATGTCAGTTGATTTCCTGGCAATCCAGCAGTTCTAAATGAGAGCTTGGTTTGAACCTAATTTTTATTTTAGATTTGCTTGGTAAATTTCCCTTCTGTCTCTGGTAGGTTTTTAGCCCCTGAATTTTCTGGGTGATTGCAGCATATCAATATAAATGTCCCTCACTCTTACTACTTTTGCCTTCTGCTGTTCTCCTTGTGACCCTGATGCTGCTACTTTATACTAGTGTCCTTTATAATTTCCATTGCTCCCTTTTATTTGTCACTGATTGAAACATGCCAGAGGAAACCTGGCATATTCGATAAGATTCTGGGGTCACGTGCTGTGAACAGGTCAGTGCTCAGGTGACTGCCTCCCAGATATAACCATGAAATCGCATACTCCTGTGTTTCTTACACACTGTGGCCACTATAATTTTATGCAACTCCCTTTTTTCACCATGCCCTGGCCTCCTTACAGCACTATTTTATATATTTCAATACTTCGAACCATGTTTGTGTGGGTGTGAATGTTCTTCACTGTGGCGCTACATATAATGCTTCCAAACTGCACCACAGATATTTTTTTTTTTTTTTTTCGTTTTGAAGGATACAGCTTCTTGGTTCACTGTAATGCTTTACAACTCCTAGATTAGACATGTACTTTAAGTATTATTTCTAGATCTTATGGCTTGTTTGTAAAGTTGCATTTCTATTCAGCAGACTGTTTTGTGCTTAATATATGCAGACAGTGATTTTTTTTTTTTTTTTTTTTTTTTTTTTTTTTTTTGTCATTTTTAATACAAACTCTATGAAATATTCTCTTTACAGGAAGGGGCAATTCTGGAAACAGTGGGGGCTACTTTGGGCAGCACGATAGCATGGGTACAACTGGATGGCGTGGAATGTACTAGAACAGATTTTGTCTAGAGGCGATCGTGGATGGGAGTTCTTTTTTTTTTTTTTTTTTTTTTTTTTTTTTTTTTTAGTTCTGTTTTTGTGTTTAGCACTTGTACAAAATTTGTACAAGAAAGTTGATCTTAAAACAATTTTAGTGAGCAGAGTACAGTGGACATTGTTACTGTAGAAATCTTCATTTGTTTGAATGCAAACATTTAACTTTGAATAAATTTTTTTTTTATAATCAAAGATGTGTTTTATGCCTAATATTAAGGTTGTAATGGAAACAATCATTGCATTTTTGAGCATGCATTTAGGCACATGGAATACATGTTCTGTAATGCTAAGGACAAGTTTTTTCTTTCAGAAACACTGTCTCAGGAAGATGACAACCCCCCTTATGCCTGAAGGCTTTTCCACAAAGGATGGGGGTGTAATTTTAATGAATTTGTGAATATGAAGCTGCCCTGTTATAATAACCCCAATAGTTTGTTTTTATTTTGTTTTTTTTTAAATAAAATTGTTGTGTAGATTCCTGAACCTGTTAGTTTAACCTATATAAATATGCAAATCCGCTTCAATCCCATCTGGGTTCTTTAGGTTTTTTTGTCTGCTTTGTAAGTTTTTTTGATTATGTTAAAACATACTTTTCAAAAGGGATACATTTTGCCACAATTGCTAACCTCAATTTGCCTAGCCATTATGCTGACCCTTGAGATTCACTGATTCCTGACGATTGTAACACATTCACCAGGGATTTTTACTAGTAATGGTGGCAATCTGTGACTGACAGCGGCGGTCATTCTGACGCTGGGGGGAACTGACTTGGTCTCACTGGCATCCCCAGTGGCACAAATACAGTGATCAGTGCTTTTTAAAAAAAAAAAAAAAAAAAGCACTGATGCTACTAATGGCACTGGACAGGAAGGGGTTAACACAAGGGGCAATCAAAGGGTTAAATGTGTGCTGTTTTACTATGCTCTGTTCATGTGCTTCACTGTAAGCACACTGCTTTGGATGGCTGTGCACACGAGGTGACAGAACTGTTTTTTGTTTACAAATCATTCTCCCTGTCAGATGCTTGACAATAACCTTGCTGATGGGTAGCCACCAGCTGGGACCTGGTGATTGACAGCTGCGAAATGCAAAAGTGTGTATGTGAGATGGTGCAAAAGAGTGCGGCCCTGTAGCAGTATATTTGCTATAGGGTGGTCAGGAAGTGGGTATGTATAGTTGAAAAAACAGAAGTCTTTATCTACATGTTGGCTTAGTCAATGCCTCAAGGTTTTGAAGCTGCCTGATACGCATGGTGTAGGCAGCTATCTTCATAAGAAGGCTGCAGCGTTTGCATCTGTCCTTCTTAAAGAGGAAACCAGCCTAACATTTTCTGAAACATTTGCTTTTGAGTTTTCTTGTAACTGAGGTATATCAAAAGGTGCTTTCACAGTGTTGCAATTTGACTGCAGCGCAGCTAACCCACACCAAACATGTCTGTAAGCTGCACTGAAATCAAACCACACCGCATCAATGTGAATGTGCCATTTGATGTACCTCAGTTACAAGCACACTCCTGTTTCACAATGTTTAAAAACGTGTCCAGTTTTGGTGTGCTTTTAGAAAGGCTCTTTGGTGTGCTCTCAGGAAGCACACCAAACACACACAGAGCATAATAGCTCTCTATCTGAAAGAGAGCAGTTAAAACCAAAACGTGGGTAAACTGTGCTGCTCCTGTTGTGTGGTCAGACCACATTTTACAAGGTAGCTTGTACAGTGAGTGGAGTAGGCTTCTAATCTTCATGCACTTTCACTAGTCTTGCTGTGTTGTGAAATTTGATTGCGTAAAGATGCGTATTTAATTTGTGCAGATCAGCATATTTCTAAAATTCAGCATATATAGCATTTTGTTATGTAGTTCCTATAAACAATGAATGATAAAAAAAACACGCATTTGTGAATTTATCTGCGTATCACATGGGGAAAAACTATTCTAGATGGTTCCTCTGCAAGAAAGTGTGTTTTGTTAGGAAACTACAGTAAAGTGTTACTAAACGCATCACCCTATATCTGTCTGCCCCCCAGTACACAACAATGAAATGCTATCTTTGTAAAAATAAACGAATACAAAAAACTGCTAAATGCCTGTTCTCATCAGCAGTTAGAGCAGTCTTGTAACTTCTATCAGTGCCCAGCTGAGCACTGATTATAGCTTGTAGGAGTTATCAGTCTGCCCTGACTGTCCTATGAGGCTCCCTGACCCTCTGTTTGGATAGTGCTGATCGGCCTTCTATGTATCTCATGCACCATTCCAAAGAGAGAGGGGGGGGGGGGGGGGAGAAACTTCTAGCCATACACACTAAACTAAGCATGTGCAGAGTGTCTTCTAGAGCTCTGTACAATCGGCAGATGGATTGGGGGGGGACAGGAGAAGGAGGATCAGAGAAGACAGGACCAAAGTCTTTTTACATGGAGGATTAACGCCTTAGGTTCCACAGTGAGTATAACTAGCATGCTTTATGGCAGTGGTTCTCAACCTGTGGGTTGTGACCCCTTTGGGGGTCGAATGACCATTTCACAGGGGTCACCTAAGACCATCTGGGAAAACACATATTTCCGATGTGTAAAGAGCAGCTATTGTGTAGAAAGCAGCAGTATTGGAGGTAAAATGACACTTCATGAATTATAATTTCTGGGTAAATAATTTTATAGTTGGGGGTCACCACAACATGAGGAACTGTATTAAAGGGTCACGGATTTAGGAAGGTTTGAGAACCACTGCTTTATGGCATATACAGACTGCTTTTACTGTTGGGGGCTTATTAACACTTTTAAGTACTTGAACATGTCATAAATGTTCATTGTGTGAAAGGGTCCTTGGGGTTATAAAAGAGGGTCACCAATCAACATTGATAATCTGTTGATGGTCAATCTGCTGTTTGGCATTCTTAGTGGCTATATCAAAATATGCCCTACTTTGTCAACCTCCATGTCTTTCCTACTACCTTGCAAACACTCTTAGGGCTCATGTACACAAGGCATTTGGAAAACTTTTCTGAACTTTGGAAACTGCTGGAAAACAAAGGTTAACAAAAATTTAGCTGTGTTTGCATGCTGTGTTTTTATGCGCAGAAGCATTGTAAAAAGATAATGGTGGGACACCTTCCCAAATGCCCAGAAAAATAGTAAACTATTTCAGACATTTTGAGAGCAGAAGCAGAGAGAGCAGTATGTGTTGAGATGACCTGTCTTTTCTGGTTGTATTTACGATGGACTCCATCATGAGCATAATGTGGCATGTTCTACCATTATTTTTTTTATTTTTTTTCCTTCATGCAAAACCTGCAACTGACTGTGCTGGTGTACCGGGTCTATTTGAGTACCTGGAGAACACTGCATGCATTTCTAATGATGAAAAAGGCTCTGGCTATGGAACAGTTAAACACATATAAACATGGTTAACTATGTTGATAAGTGTTTGGCAATTGAAATGCTGGTAAAATCTACTGAATGCAAGTTTTGTGTGTTCAAAAAAAAAAAAAAAAAACTAAACTCAACTGCCTGTAAATGGCATAGTGTACATAGACACAGGAAAACATTAGGGAGAGTTCAGGGGCTGCTGGGGAAAAAGACTGCAGAAAAGCTCCTGAATGTGAGTTTATCAGCTGCAGTGTACATGAGCCCTTCCTGGTGTCCTAGAATAGAGTTGCCCAAGGTGGTTTAAATGTTCAAATACACAAGAAAAAAAATTCCCCTTGGATGTTTTACTGCAGGATAAATATTTAAGAAAAAAAAAATTGGCAAAATAGTATTAAAATTAAATCTTTATTTGTACATCAATCACAGAAAATGCTTAAAAATTAGCTCTGGTTCATAAAATCCCAGTATGGCAGAGACACCCTATTTGGCAAAAAAAACATGACAGTTTTACAAAAGAATTTCATATCTGATTTTGCCTCTATGAATATACCAACCCGTTTTGAGATACAGCTTTACACTTTCTTGGGGATCAGGGATTGTCTGAACTAGAAAAATACGTACATGTTAGATCAACACCATTATATATTAACATATAGAACCAAACTACACTTGGGAAAATTACCATCTACTTAAGAAATATTAAGTAACAACCCAGAGAAATTAAAAAAAGGTTTGTTTCCAAGCACCCCTCTTCATGCATCTTAAAAGAGGAATAGAGCTAGTAGGCCTGCAGAAGGTCACCAGGCGAACTACACCAGGAAGTAAGGGAGTCCCACACCTGTGAAAGGGGAATTAATTAAGTATGTTTGTATATTAAAGATCAGAACTAACTCACTGAAATCTGCATTTAGGCCAGTACATTGATTACTTGTAGTAACCCTCTTAGGGCACAGAAGAGTTTGACTGTCAGAATCTTACTGTGGGTCACATCCACAATAATCCTCAGGCCACTGTGATTAACCCACTTGCCTACTGGTCACTTATACCCCCTTCCTGTCCAGGCCAATTTTCGGCTTTCAGCGCCTTCACACTTTGAATGACAATTGCAGGGTCGTGCAACACTACCCATATGAAAATTTCATAATTTTTTTTTCACACAAATGGAGCTTTCTTTTGGTGGTATTTAATCTCCATTGGGTGATAGGCAACAATGATGGGTGGCACAGCTGGGCGCTGATCATTGGTGCTGATCCCTACTCTGACAATTGCCAGTCACTGATACAGATGTGGAATTTACACTGGTACACGACAGATGTAGATCACTGGTACAGATGTGGAATTTGCACTGGTACACTACAACAGATGTGGATTTTCACACTGGTACACTGACATGTGGATCACTGGTACAGATGTAGATGACCACAGGTACTGTGTGACAGATGTGGATCACTGGTGTGCTGACAGCAGTGGGGGACACTATGGGGTGATCTGTGTAACTCCCAGTTTTATACAGATCGGCTCTGCTTCTCGCTACTGGGATTTTTGTGAGGAGAGGCAGAGCCGGTCAACAGATTGGCGGCTTAGTTGACATTATATGATG